AAGCTGGCCCCTTCCTTCCCCAGTTTTACCCCTCTATCCTCTGCCCCTGCCCTTTTCTCTTGCCTCATTGCCCTGGCTAAAGCTTTGAGTTACTATAATGGATAAAAGTAGACAGTAAACATCCTTCTTTGGATTTAGATTTTAGAGAAAGTGCTCTCAATTATTGACTATGGATTTGTCATATATTGCCTTTACTATATTGAGGTGTGCTCCTTCTACTCCTTTCTTCAGGGTTTTCATCATAAAGGGGTGTTGAACTTTGTCAGGGGCCTTCTCTCTGTAGAGTGAGACGATCATGGAATTTTCCCTAAAGCCTATGTATGTTCTGTATTCTAAGTACTGCTCTGCAGATGTCAAGACAACCTTACATCCCTAGAGTAAAATCAACTTGATCATGGTGTGTGATATTCTTAATATGTGCTCGAATTGTCTCAGAAGGAATTTTATTGAAAATTTTTATGTGTTCACCAGGAACATTGGTCTATAGTTTTCTTTGCTGTTGTTGTTGGGATTTTATTCAATTTGGGTACCAGGGTAACATTGGCTCTATAGAATGGGTTTGGTGATGTGCTTTTACTCTATTTTATGCATAAGAGCATTGGTGTTAGCTCTTTTTCAAAGACTGTTTGATTTGCTAGCGAACCTGTCTGACCCTGGCTTTTCTTTGTTGGAAGATCTTTTTTTCCTGCTTCAATCTCATTGGCTGCTCTTGGCGGAGCATGCCTTTAATCCCAGCACTTGGAAGGCAGAGCCAAGTGGATCCCTGATTTCAAGGCCAGCCAGTATGGTGTACAGAGGGTGTTCTAAGACAGTCAGGGCTATACAGAGAAACACTGTCTCAAAAAAAATGTAGAGTTACCAATTTCTTAGGTTATTATAGATCTATTATTTACATCTTGATTTGATTTTGGTAGGTCATGTGTGTCTTGGTATTCACGCCTTTCTTCTAGATTTTTCCAGCTTTTTAGACTATAAGTTTTCAAAGTATTCTAATGATTTATTTCCTCTCTGCTTTATTTACTAAGGAAAGGTCTATCGCTGAGTATTTAGCCTACTGATTTGTCTAGTTTAGCTCCCAGGATCCTGTCTCTGACCTCTGAGGGCTCAGAATTTCTGGTGGGATGTCACCCCTGTCTGGCATTTCCATGGATGCTGGGCATACAAACTCTAGTCTGCATACTTACACAGCACTTCATCCCCCCGAGACATCTCTGCAACCCTCATCTTTAATTTCATTAATTTGACCTTTTTCTTTCTTGTGGTTAATTTAGTTTTTATGGAGCTTGTCAATTTTGTTTATGCTTTCAAAGAAACAACTCTTTATTTGACTAATTCTATAGCTTTTTTTTGTATGTTTCTATTTAAGTAATTTCTGCACCCCTCCACTCCCCACCTGTGCCAATTGGAGATAGGGTCTCATTATGCAGCTCTGACTGGCCTGCAGTTCTCTGTGTAGATCAAGACAACCTTGAATGCCCCTCTATTGTCACTGGCACCAGTGCCAGCAACCAAAAACCCAAACAAGGCAACAGTCTGAGGATTAAGAAGGACACATCTTGGGTCATTCGGTAGAAGCAAATGCCATCGGTTTATTGCAGCCAGCAGTTTATATATGAAGAGATGGAAAAACACCACCTGCTAGCAGAACACATTCCCATGCCCTGTCATAAACAAGGAAACCATAACAGCCGCCCACAGCCAACAAAGCAAGAACTGGATGGAGGCAAGGCATAATGTTTCAAAATAAGAAACGTTCATAATAGGATGCAGAAACTAGGCAAGACAAGGAAAACAGGAGGTACCTATGGTTATGCTGGAAAACAATGCACAGAGACCCTTGTGGGGGCTGGGTCCCAACATTCTATGTCCTGCAGTTTCCCCTTATCTTTGTTATTTCTTTTTTTTTAAATTTTATTAGTTCAAATTAAGAACAAGCTTGTTTCACATGTCAATCCCTTCTCCCTCTCCCTCCCCTCACCCCCATCCCTTCTCCCCAACCCCTGACCTACCCCCCACCCCATCCACCCTCCACTCCCCAGGCAGGGTAGGACCCTCAACGGGGGCTCCGCAAAGTCCACCACATCATCCTGGGCTGGGCCTGAGCCCTTCCCCATGTTATCTTTGTTATTTCTTACCACTACTTTTGAGTTTGGCTTGTTCTTGGTTCTCTAAACCTTTGAGGTACATCATTAGGTTATTTATTTGAGGTCTTTCTGATTCCATGATGTAAGCACTTACAGCTTGTCATTCAGGTTTTTGTTGCTGTGAAGAGACACCATGACCACGGCAACTCTTATAAAGAAAACATTTAATTGGAGTGGCTCGCTTAGAGTTTCAGAGGTTTGGTCTATTATAATCGTGGTGGGGAGCATGGCCAAGTGCAGGCAGACATGGTAGTGGAGGCATTTTCTCAACCAATGTTCCCTTTTCCCCAATGACCCTAGCCTGTGTCAGGCTGACACAAAAATGAAAGGATGGAAATTGAAAACATACTAAGCAATGATAACCCAAGCTTGGGGAGACAAATACTGTATGTTCTCCCTTATATAGAGCTCTTAGCTTCTAATTATTAAATATGTGTACCTAGGTGGAAGTAATGTGTATAAATGCCAGAAAACTAGAAAAGGGAAACATGAAATAGGGAAAAAAAGAATATTTTATGGAAAAAGCACTAAGAAGGGCAGTAGAACACATGGGTATGAAAGTAGAACAGAGAACACTGGGAGCAAGGGGTACAGCAGAGAATGGGGGTGGGGCGTCAACCAAAACAAAGCACTGTGACGATGCCTTCTAAATATTTATGCTGATGCCCATAAAGCATGCTACTCTCAGCCTTGATCATAGAAGCTTCTGCTTGCAGGGGATGGGGATTAACATAGAGACCCATGACTGATCAACGTGCTAAGGAAAGTGACTATCAAGGGTTTTGCCCTAGATGGAGACATCTGCACACTCCTTCTCAGCCTGAAGAGATATCATGGAAAAAGAAGCAGAAAGGATTTAAGAGCTGAAGGCTAGGAATATGAGCTGTAAATAATGTCTCACAGACATGATGTAGCAGTTGTTCCATGAACTCACAGCAGGACCTGAACAAGACTGAGCCCATCAACATCCCCTCTCAGGGGAACCCTGTGTGTGTGTGTGTGTGTGTGTGTGTAAGAGAAAGAAGAAGTAATTTTTCTAAAGAGAAAAGAACTGGGCACAGAACTAAAAAATAAATAAAATTTTAGCTAAAAAGTACTGCCATAGCTATGTCGGAACAATCTGGTAAACTGTGCTTTTATTTTCATTTCATCCTAGTAAGTTTTAAATTTCTTCCAAAATTTCTTCAATGGCCCACTGATCTTCTGAGTATATGTTTCAATCTCTAGGTCTTTCTGTAGTTTCTGCTTGCTGTTAATTTATAGTTATATTGCACCATGATCTGATAAAGATGCATAAATTATTTCAATTATTTTGCCTTTGGTAAGTCTTGATTTACGCACTAGAACCTGGTCTGTTTTTCAGATGGTCCCATGGACTGCTGGGATGGGCATATATTCTATATATTCTGTATCTCTGCCTTATTTATTTCTTCATTTACTTTGAGACACTATCTCATGTAGTCCAGGTTATAGGCAGGCTTCATGCCTTTTTGTTTGCTCCTTATCTCTCCAGTTAGATGAATACTCAGGACAATCTAGAATCTGGCTCTTTTTACTTGTTTTTCTTGCCATTTAGCACAAACATCACTGCGTTTTAAACATCTGCTTTAGCTGACCTTCTGGAATACACTCAGATAGACAAACACTCTAGATGTCTAATCTCATTGGATACAGAAGACGATCTTTTGATTCGGGACTTAATGATAGATTCACTAATTTGTTACCTTAGCAGCCAAGAAGCAGAAGAGTTCAAGGTCAACACAAATACAGCAAAGACCAAATAACTTAACAAACAAGCAAGCGAAGTCATCGTTTCATACATAGTCAATGTGCGGCTTGGAGGAGCCGGTTGGTTTTGCTTGGGGTCACATACAGCAGGCAACTACCCAAAATGCTAACTGTAAATGAGAACCATGGCTTCCAAGTCCATGGGTGCCACACAGGATGTGAACTTCCCTGTGTTGGAGACTAAATCCCCATGACTCCACGTGTTGAGAGAAGTCCTTTGAAAGATGACCAGGTCACCAGGGCTCTACCTTCCTTCATGAATGAATTAACAGTTAATGTGAGAGTGGACTGACATCGTCACAGACGCAATTTCTTAAAAGGATGAGCGTGGCTCCCTTTGCTCCGCCCCCACTTCTATCTGGATGCTCATCTCCTTGCCCTCTACCTTCTACTGTGGGATGATGATGATACAGCAGGAAGGGCCATGGAAGATGCAGGTCCCTCCACCTTGAACTTCCCACCCCCTAGACCTGTAAGAAAGAATCTGTGGTTTTAATAAATGGCTTAGTCTTAGGTAGCCTATTACAGCAACATAAAACAGATCAAGACATAGTCGAGTCGAGTCCGGTAGGCTAAGACTCAAGATCCTGCAGCACCCCCTCCAATCAGCGGTAAGCCAGCTGTTCTGTTTTGCTTAGCTTTTGCAATTATTGTTCCCCGGGAAATCCACAGGCATCGGCCCCACTATGTCCAAGAACAAGGATTTGGGAGCCGCTTTTTTAGTCAAGGCCACATTAAGGGCGACTCCCTGGATTGTCCTTGGAGCACGATCTCTAGGGGTAGGTAGAAGGGTCTCCTTGCCTGTTGCTTCCACCCTTGCTCTGTTCCCCTCTCCTCTGGCCCGAAAAGAGAAAGGCATACAAAAACCGTTTCATATCCGTGAATGAACTTCAGTACTAGTATCTCAGAGCAAACTCTTGTGGTTATTATTTTAAATCCAGAGATAACAGTGGAGACCTTTGAGTTACACACACCAGTCCACCCAGAATGCCCCACACCCACTAAAAGCAGCAATTATTGAAAACAGCAGCTACTGGGAGTGCTTAGAAAGGACTCTTCTCCAGTAAATAACTTGGAATGTTTTTATTTTAGAATATCAAAGGGAGTCTGGACCACATTATAGCTAATTGACTACATATTTCCATGAGCAGAAATGAAGCTATATTTTAGTTATGAGGATACCAACCACAATGTCTTTCATGCTGGTTACCAGCTTTTTAAAAAGAAGGGGGGTGGGGAGAGTCCAAAATGTAAGTGGCTTGTGAAATTTCAGCCTTACTCTGGACTCCACATCTTACCTCTAGCACTAGCAGAGAAAGGGGGGTGCGGTGGGGGGTTAACTCGAACATTTTGGCCTGATCGAGGGACAGCAGCCTTGGGGCTCTAGTCTCCTCTGAGTAGGTCTACAGATAGGCACATTCTCATGGACAGTAGTCTCCCTCTTCTCCTTCCCCCTCCATCTCCCTCCCTTCCTCCCTTCTGTTTCTCCTTCTTCCCCTCCTTGAATGGAGATGGTCATGGCAGGCTGGATAAGGAAACAATGAATTCTGCAAGTCTGAGTATCTGCATGGTGTCCTGCCATTCCTGAAGTTAAGAAGCAAGTAGATCTTTCTCTCCGTGGTTTTCATAATTGCTTTGTGTTCCACGGTAATTGGGCTTAATAAGCATTATTTATTTTATGACCTAACCAATCAGTTCTGTGCTTAGCTGGAGGAGGAGAGTTGTCAGGGCTGAGGCGTAGAGTTTCCAGGGGGAGCTCCCTGTTTTCGGCCTCCTCCTGGATCCCCAGTTCTCAGGGGAGGGGCTGCCAGTGAAGCAACATCTAGCTCCCCACCCCCAGGCTGGTGTCTTCCCTGTTTGCTTTGTGGGTGAGTAAATCGCTCAGCTGGGGACTTCTTCAACTCTAGGCTGTGGGTGGCCTTGATTAAATGTTCTAGGAAGAAAAGAAAAGAGAGAAAAATCTTAATTATCCCGAACCCTTGGACAGCAAGGAAGTCAGTGGAAATTTCCCACAAACCAAGAATTCCTTTTGATTCTGAGCCTTAAACTTTTAATTTTTACCACTTGAGATGGAAAGTTAAGTCAAATGAATCACACCCTTCCTGGAGTTCTTAAACAATGGACATAATTCAAAAACTTCTACCTAGTTTTTAAAAGGATAGTTTATCACACTGTCTTGTAATAGAAAGATGACCTCCGAGGTTAGAGACATGTAAGATGATTTATTTTTATATTAAGTGACCCAGAGTGGTGTGTGTGTGTGTGTGTGTGTGTGTGTGTGTGTGTGTGTGTGTCCTTCGGTGATTTTTTTCTAATACTCTGTGAAAACCTCTCCCATGACCATTGAAAGACCCCCCGAGACTCAGGCCCCCAGGATCTCAGCCCAGGACCCCAGCCACCCCAATCACCATGCGGAGTCAAAAGCTTGATGCAAACTGCACAAGGCTTTATTGTAGTTGTTTAACTAGCTAACCTCATGTTAGCTCGGGCCTTTCACCCATCCACCATGGCGGGTGGCTAGGAAATATGCTTTGAAGCCACAGCATAGAGATCTTATAGGGCAGCATAAGGGGAGTGTCTAGGGATACGCACAGGCTCAGGATTGGTGTGCCTCCAGGCTTGGCGGGGTTTCCCTCTGTTGATTGGTCCACTGGTTGTTATGGCCCATAGCCCCTCCCAAGGTGGTTGCTATGCTCTGTGCATCATTGCTGTGCACTTGTCCATAAAGCACACCCAGAGCTGTAAAGCATAGCACCACCAGCTAACTTCTGATTGGTTCCTTGCCACGAGGCAGGCATCTGACCTCCTAGTGACCAAGGCAAGGTCAGACAAGCACGAGTTACTGTCATAGCTGCTGAAAGGGGCAGACATCTGACCTCCTAGTGACCAAGACAAGGTCAGGCAAGTACATGTTCGGCTGTTATGGCTGCCGAAATGGGGAGCTGGTCCCTTCACCATCAGCTAGTGTACCTGTCGCCAGCCCTCCCCTTCCCCTGCCCTCAAGCATGACTTCTGTGGGAATTAGAAGAACAGGGTGCTCCACACTGAGTGTAAAGGTTAGCTGGGTCTGAGGGGGAACACAGGGTCAGAAGGTCAGACATATATGTGGCATACCAAGCTTCTTAATGATTATCAACGTTCTATATAGGACTCTGTCAGAAAGCTGAATTTTAGAAAACCAAGATCATTGCAGCCTTTCCGGTAAGAGAGATTCTACAACTCAGACACAATGTGCCTGAATTTGTGACTTTTATGTGCTGTGATAAAACACCACAAAGGCAACTTACAGAAGCAAAAAAAAAAAAAAAAAAAAGGGGGGGGGGCTTATGTTCTAGAGAGATAAGAGTTCATTATGGCAGGGAATCGTCACAGTAGACACAGTAACAGGAACAGTTAAGAGCTCACATCTCAAACTGCAAACAGGAAGCAGAGAGTAAATTGGGAATGACACATGGCTTTTAAACCTCCAACCTGTACCCAGTGACATATTTCCTCCAGCAAGGCCACACCTCCTCAGCCTCCCAAATAGTACCACTAACTGGGGACCAAGTGTTCAAATGCCGAGACAGTAGGGGACACCTCATTCAAACCACAGGGGCTCAGCAGTAGAACAGTTACCTAGCACGCTCGAATCCCTGTGTTCAGTCTGCAACACCACACACACACACACACACACACACACACACACACACACACACCACACTAAACAAAAAAGTAAAACCAGAAGTAAGAGAGTAAGGTGAGGTCTAATTTATAATATGAATTTTCTTTTTCTGATGATGAACATAGTATGTGCCATTTTTTTTTAAATAACTAAATTTTACAATTACATGCAATATTGCAGAGAAATCCCTTCATTTTCTCCTCTTTCTTTGCCATCCCAAATAACTACTCATGAAAAGGATACGGGTGTGTTAGCTACTCGCATACTAGCATGTTGTGACTTTTAAAAACATAAATTTGGATCTCCTCATGCCTCTCATATTTCAGTTTACTAATCTGTCTTCAATATGTTGTGAATAGGCCAAGTTTTAGTTACTTTGTTACTTTTACTACAGCTTAGTATTCCCTTAAAGAAGTGACAAAATGCCTATAAAATGGTGTCACCTACATGCTGAGCGGGGTGTCCCCTCTTGTCTTCTCTGAAGTCTCGTAGATTGTCTCAACTACTTCTCTGTCATTGTGACAAACTATATGGGCAAAAGCCACTGCCTTACGTAAAGACGGGTTTATTTGAGTTCTCAGTTCAATTGAGAAGTCAAGTCAGGAATTCGAAGTAGCCATTCGCATTGCATCTACAGTCAGCAAGAATAAAGCAAAAGGCTTTTTAGAGCTCATTCCCCATGGTAGGATACCTTGCTCAGCCTTAATGTAGCAGGGAGGGGCTTGGTCCTGCCTCAGCTTGGTAGGCCAGACTTTGTTGGCTCTCCAAGGAACACTTTGCTCCCTGTGAGGACTGGATGGGGGGATGAGGAGGGAGGGGACTGGGAAAAGGGATGGAGGGGGAACTGGGGTTGGTATGTAAAATTAAAAATAATTTTTTTAAAAAAAATTTAAAAAGGAAAAAAGAAAAAACAACAATAATAAATCTATTATTATTATTACTATTTATACCTTTTCCTTTTTATAGGGGTCAGGATCTCAGTCCAGGGAATAGTGTCACACTTAGTGGGCAGGTCTTCCCACCTCAACCTAATCAAGACAATCTCCCACAGGCGTGCCAGAAAGCCCATCCACAAATGACTAGACAATTGAGATAGCCACCATAACTTTTCATCCTGTTAAGGTTTGGATCTGAAGTGCTCGCCTCTACACTCTCTGAACTCTCACACTGTATCTGATGGATTTGTACTTGTTTCTCTCAGAGTTTCAAGTGTATCCTCACATTACATGCAGCTTGCCACCTCTCTTGCAACACTTGTAACTGATTGGTTCCTCTCCCTTCTACATTTTTGTTTCTTTGCTTGTTTTTCAAGACAGGGTTTCTCTGTGTAACATCCCTGGCTGTCCTGGAACCTGCTTTGTAGACCAGGCTGGCCTCTAACTCATAGAGATCCCCTCCCCCCTCTGCCTCCCATGTGCTGGGACTAAAGGTGTGTGCCACCACAATCCGGCTCTTGCACTTTTTTAAATCAGTGGCTCCCTGTTCTGCCCAGGCTAGCCATTAACTCCTGAGAGCAAGAGAAGCTTTTGCCTCACTCTCCTGAAGAGCTAATACTCTAGACACAGGTCACTACACACAAAATTCTATTGGTTGTCTTGTCTAATTGTATTAGCTTCATTTTTCTCCCCACAAAGAATGTTAAGCAACGACAGTAATAGTAAATAATCTTGTTTTGTTGATTTTAATGAAAACATTCCCACTACTTTTCTGTTGTGATGATGAGTCATAACATGACTTGAGATGCATGTATCTGTTATATTATGGATGTGTCCTAATATTCTTCATTTTTTCTTTCTTTCCTTCTTCTTCTTCTTCTTCTTCTTCTTCTTCTTCTTCTTCTTCTTCTTCTTCTTCTTCTTCTTCTTCTTCTTCTTCTTCTTCTTCTTCTTCGGCATCAAGAACATTAATGGCTATATGCAATCTGCTTCCTAGGTATGTGTGACCTGAGGCAAGATTCTTGACTTTGCTAGGCTTTAGCAACCTGGTCTATGAAATGAAGACAATAGATAGGTCATGATGTCATTCACTGAGTGAGAAGATGCATACAAACACATCAGGAGGGCCTACTGCATAAGTGCAAAATAAATGTTTTTGTCAGTGTTATTAGTTTACTGTGGTTGAATGTTCAAACTTCTTGCATTTTTTGTTTTGTTTTATTTTTCGAAGACAGGGTTTCTTTGTGTAGCTTTGGAGCCTATCCTGGCACTCACTCTGGAGACCAGGCTGGCCTCGAACTCACAGAGATCTGCTTGCCTCTTCCTTCTGAGTGCTGGGATTAAAGGCATGCGCCACTAACGCCTGGCCAACTTATTGCATTTTTAATATGTATCTTTTAAGGAGATCATGGCTTTTCCCCCTTGACTACTTAGACAATGAATTATACTAATAGATTTTCTAAAATTGAATCAGCCTGGAATGAGTCCCACTTTGTCACAGCGGGTTACTAGATTCTATTTATTAATGGTTTAACTAGATATTTTTACATTATGTTTAAAAACAAGATTACCCTGTTGTTTAGAGATGTAGGCTGTACAGTGTATGTTCAAATTTGTGCAGTGTATGAGGTATGTGTCAAAGTCAGTTTTCTTTTGCTGTGAAGAGACACCATGATCACAGCAACTCTTATAAAGGAAAGCATTTACTTGGGGCTGGCTTATAGTTTCAGAAGTTTAGGCCATTATCATCTTGGCAGGAGGCATGGTGGCATGCAGGCAGACATGGAGAAGGAACTGAGAGTTCTACATCCACATCCACAGGCAGTTGGCAGCAGGCAGAGCGAGTCATTGGGCCTGGCTTAGGCTTTTGAAACCTCAAAGCCCACCCCCAGTGACATACTTCCTCCAACAAGGCCACATCCTAATTGGTTCAAATAGTACCACTCCCTAATCTATGAGTCTATGGGGGCCATTCTTATTCAAACCACCATAGTTTATCTGGTGTCTATATGGTGAGTGTCTGTGGTATGGAGAAGTTTGTAGGCATTTAGGGTTACAGGCCCAAGGAAAACAAAATGTCTGTATATCCTGGCAGACCCCATAGTCAGCTCCCAAAGCATTGAGGTTTTATACTACACTACCCAATTGATGAGCTTGGGAACAGAACGTGGGCTGGTCCAGCCCTTTGTTCTTTTTATTTCCAGGATCTTCCTCTTTAGCTGGTCTTGCCTGTAATGGTGGCCCCATTCCTTTGGGCGTGGCTTCACGCAGATGGAAGTAGAAAGAGGGAAGCTTGAGTCATGACTTCTTTTTGTGTGGTTCTCTTGGGTCAGCGGATCCAGTAGGAAGGGCAGAGAACTGCTCCCGAGGTTCTTTGTATTTTTCTGTGTTAAGTGTTCCCCAGTAAACACCCATTTATCATTTATCTTGGGTCTAGTGAAATCATTACACCCTCACCTTCATTCCTCCCTTCAGAACTTCTCAGTGGGCTTTTCTTTTTCCTCCCTCAGCAGGCAAGCTACCCCAAGCCTGTGCCCTTTCACCCAACCTACCCAGCAACCAATCCATATTCCCCACACAGGTTCAAACTAACTAATAAGGTTCATCCCAAATAAGTGTCTTCTTTATATACAGTATGAGCCAGTCAGGCTCACTCTGAACACAGACGAGAGCCTTGGATTTCCCTATGGCTCAACAAACCTGGCTTACTTGCCCTCCTATTGTTCCTTTTCATCATTTTTCTTCTTCTTCTTCTTCTTCTTCTTCTTCTTCTTCTTCTTTTTTTTTTTGTTGTTATTTTGTTTTTTCGAGACAGGGTTTCTCTGTGTAGCTTTGGAGCCTATCCTGGCACTTGCTCTGGAGACCAGGCTGGCCTTGAAATCACAGAGATCCACCTGCCTCTGCCTCCTGAGTGCTGGGATTAAAGGTGGGTGCCACCAACGCCTGGCTCATCATTCTTTCATTCATTCATTCATTCATTCTTTCTTTCTTTCTTTATTATTTATTATGTATACAACATTCTGCTTCCATGTATATCTACACACCAGAAGAGGGCACCAGATCTCATAACAGATGGTTGTGAGCCACCATATGGTTGCTGGGATTTGAACTCAGGACCTCTGAAAGAACAGTCAGTGCTTTTAACCTCTGAGCCATCTCTCCAGCCCATGGCTCATCATCCTTAATGACCAATCACAAGCTGCCTGTTTAGAACAGCTTTGTGGCAACTGAGTTTTCTGACACCTAAACCCACTAAGAGTTGAAAAAGGCTCCATGGTGCTACAAAGAAACATTCTCAATGTCGTTCGAAACAAAGGTAACTCAACAAGGCAACTTCTTTTTGTGAAAATGGCTCCCCATGACCCCAACCAAGCTAGCAAAGCACTCAGGGTCAGGAAGTCACTTTGCTTTTGTTTTTCAACACAGGTGCCAACAGTGTCTTTCCCCCTATTGCCTGGGTGTAATGTCACAGTCCTTTGAGACAGACTAGTTTTTAAAGAATCGGAGCAAAGAAAATGATGGAAAGGAAAATGAACTAGGTTGCTCTAGGCCAGTGGTTCTCAACCTTCCTAATGCTGTGCTCTACCTGCTATGGAATAATCCTTCTGTACTCTGTGAAAATATGTTGCTTTCATTGTTAATAAAAAGCAGACTGGAAAATGGTTAGGCAGGGTTTGGGGGGCAGAGAGAATGATGGGCAGAAGGGTAGAATGAGAGGGGATGCCATGAGATGCAGAGCAAGCAGGATGGGAAGTATGTACATGAGATAAACAAGCCTTGGGGCAGTACATAGATGAATAGAAATGGGTTAATTTAAGTTGTAAGAGCTAGCTAAAAACAAGCCTAAGCTATTGGCTCAGCATTTAAACTTAATATTAAGTCTCTGTGTGGTTATTTGGGGAACGGCTGGTGGGACAGAAAAGTCTGCCTACAGTGACCCTTTAATACAGTTCTTCATGTTGTGGTGACCCCTAACCATAAGAGTATTTTCCTTACTACTTCATCACTGTAGTTTTGCTACTGTTATGAATCATAATGAAAATGTCTGTGTTTTCTGGTAGTCTTAGGGGACCCCCGTGAAAGGTCATTCTAACCCTAGAGGGGTCTTGATCACTGATCTAGGCCATCAAGTTCTAGGAATTCAGAAGGGTCTTTGTGTAAACAGAAGTTTTTCTGGGTGGTGGACGTTGTAAGATTTGAATTCCTTTGCATAAAAAGGTGGTTATACCTTTTCGAGATACAATAAACACAAACACACACACACACACACACACACACACACAGACAAAAATTCTCATTTTAGCGCTCAAAGAACCCCACAAAAGTATGGTTTTTGTGTGAATCATGTATGTGTGCAGAGATATTTATATTTATGTAGAGTGTGGAATGTGTGGTGTGTGTGACATGTTGTGTATATGTGGGGGGTGGATGATGCTTTCTTGTTGTGTGTGATGTGCATGATCTCTGTGAAGTTTGGGCACCAAGGGAGTGCTGGCTTCATGCACTAAATGGGGGGATTTTCCCCTTATGCTCTGGAGAAGTTAAGTCACCAAAAGAACATTTTTTCCTCAAAGGTTTAAATTTAGTAACTTGTTGAGTGATCTAAGACTAAGTAGTCCATGGCAGCCCTGTCAATTTCTTCCACAAATTGCATTTTTTTTAAAAAAAATCTGAGTCAATTTTAGTAAGAATGTCTTTGAAAATCATCCATTCATTCTTGTGTATTAGAAAATTAGAAACAGCTGTTTTGGATATAATATCAAATAATAGTGCAGTATATTAAAAAGCTGTCCTCGAGTCAGTATGAAGAGAAAGAGTTGAGAAGCAATTTTGGCACCGAAAACACCATAAAATGGCCGGCAGAGGAATAGGTCCCCCTGGGTAACTGCATCGTCTTTGACAAACAAAAGTGGTGAAATATGTGTTTGGCGTATTTACCATGGCGAGATAGACAGTAGATAAACACAAAGTGAATGTGATCCTGATCACGAGACTAAATTCTTCCAACATGGTGGCTCCTGGGAAATCATAGACGGCTTTCCTTGGCCCTGCTCCCTGTGCCCAGTGCACATGCGCAGATGGAAGCTATGGGCATGCGGCGAACTGGGCTTCATGGAATCGAAAAGACTTCATGGAGAGAGAGGCTAAGAGTGAGGTGAAAAAAGTGCTTGTATGGATTGGGGGGTGGGGCGAGGGCTGTGCCTGATCCTTGCTGGGTGGGAAGAATGGGGAACCCTGTGCCTCTGACCTGGCTGGATGCTTGTGAGGGATTCCCTCCTTACACCTTCGGCTTAAGAAGATGGTACCAGGTTATTGTGCACGGTAGGGTGTGCGCAAGCAGGTACCAGGTTATTGTGCACGGTAGGGTGTGCGCAAGCACTCCCTGGCCCCTCGTGAGCACTGACTTTCCCTTCAATTTGCTAAAGTCCTTGGCTTCGGTTTTCCCCAGAGAGAGCTCTATTATTGGGCTCCACATTGGGGACAGTTTCTCCCTGACAGGGTGGGCCACTTCTCCAGCATGGAGACTTTAAGACCAACCCTAAATTCTCAAGGAGCTTAGATGGGGACATGAAAGCCCCACTCTTGATAGTGACAGCCCAATTACTTTGTGTTGGCGTGATTTCCAGAGAACGCTTCTGTCCCCGGTCCTCCAGGGAACGTTAAAATAAAATGGGCTCCATTCGGTTGGCTTTGCAGCCAACTGGAGCCGATACAACTGCAAGGGATGTCATACCTGGAGAAATGGGTCCCTGGAGGCTGTTGAGAAGATACTTCGGGCACAGCAAGATGTGATGGTTGATTTTACGAAGACTTGACTGGGCCACCGGGAGTCCAATGCTAAGCTGTGGATCTTCTTCCTGGCTGCTCATTGCAGACTCACTGACTCTGCTATTCCTCAAACTGTACTCTAGGGGTGTTTCTGAAGGCTTTCTGGTTTTCCAGCAATCACACGTCGTAGTGGAAAGAGGTTTCAGAGCCAAACAGGCATTGGTTCAAAACTACAAACATGCCAATTTTTCTGTAACCTTGAACTGGTTCGGAAACCTTTGTGAGCTCATGCTCCCATCGTCTACAAAGTCAGGCTAGCAGATGGAGCCTGCACAGTTACCAGGGGCGTTAGAGACAGCATCCAGAATGCCAGCCAGGCTGTAGTGGGAGTTCTTATGTCAGTTCCATAGTTTTTTTAAAAGTATAGAATGAAAGAGCCAAGGACCCTCTGAAGAATGTCTCACAAGAATACAGCGATCTCTCTGCCTCTGCCATTAAAAGAGAAACATTGTTTGGGATCAAAATGAAAATCATCCAACACGCTAATACTGGCGATTGCACTAAAAATGATTAACTTCAGCCATGAGAACTGGAAGGTTCTGCAGATATTTGTGTAATATCTATTACCACAGGACCACTGCCCCATCCTATCAGGATAGTTGGGATTCTGAATCAGTAAGTCCAGATGCTTCCATGCCAGATACCTTTGGGAATATAAAGGGGTTACCCCTCAGCCCCTGCTTTCTGGCAGAGGGCATCCGAGTTGTGGATGCCTAATGGCCCTCTCTTGTGGGTGGAAGGGCTGCAAATTCTTTGACACTCCTCCAGTAGGGAAATGAGCTCCAGTTCCCTCCCCTTGATTCAGAGCCACCTAGCAGAGTATAATAGAAGGGAAGCTATGCTGGTTCTGGGACTAAACCCTAAGTGGCTGTTCTGCCAGAAAGATCACATGGACATTCCATGAAACTACATGGAGAAGAACAGGAAAACCAGCCAAGTCAGCCATCCAGGCATTCCAATCAAAGAGCCAGGAATGTGAGACAATCCATCGTGGACCCTCCAAACCAGACCAGCTGCAGCTGAGTGCCATGAACAGTCCAGGCCGACACCAGGTTAAAGGGGAGAATCATTTGACTGGGAGCAGAGGAATGCCTGACCCCAGAACAATCAAATAGAAAATGGCTACTATTTCAAGACACTAAATTTGGTAATTTTTTAATTAGCAAAATGTATGCTCCTGGTACCCCATTTGCTAGGAGCCCATATAGTCCTAGGAATTTGGAATGACTTGGATACTTTATTATACTGAGATTCTACATGTCTTGGGTTGGGTACTAGGGGTGGCACACAAAGGCAGTCTCTCTGATTCAAATAGAAACCGATTAGTCAATGGCAACACTTTCCCCTTGATCATCGTTTTAAAATCTGGAACAGCAAGATTATGAAAAGGAGAAAACATGAAGTGTGGAAACTTAAAGAAGAGGCAGGCTCAGATTGGTTGGAATCTAGAAAAAAGACGAAAGAATAAAATCAAAGCATCCTCGTCAAGAAGTGATCTAACCTTTAGCCACATTTTGGAAACACTGCTCATTGTTCAACCTTAGATAATAAGACAAGCAACTAGTGGGCCAACAGAGCTCCTTTCTTTCTAGTTTGTTTCTGACATTAGTTTCATTGATTCATTAGTTAGCACTGATTTCATTGATTCCTTCAGTTAGCAAGCATTACGTGTTATAATGTAGGAGAAACTAAGAAATATGCTCTTAGTGAAATAGCTACTTCACCCCCTTGGAGCACAAAAATATGTTTCCATAATCGGATCAGTAAAAGATCACGTCCCCATTCCAAGGACAACAAATGCATTCTCCTGATCTGGGATTTCCTACCTCCAAGTATCCAAGGAGCCTGCACATGGTTTCCCAGGTCACTTAAAGAAAGTCCATCCTTTGCTTAGCACTGTTGCCCATTTCTTCACAGTGGAGTGATAACAACTTGTGCTTGAGGTCCCTAGTACTGTAATGAGAGATGATGATGACAAGGAGGAGGAGGACAATGACAAAGATGAGGATGAGGAGGTGATGACGGTGCTGACTGATCTTGTATACTATAAGAATCACCACTGAATGTGAGGCTCACTGGCAATTTGACCATGGTCATTTAGGACAAGAAGGATAAAGATACCTTGTTCCACCCCTCCTTCCTATTCCCCACCCCCACTTATATCTTACCTTTGGGGCTTCAGATAGCTGTGTTAAAGATCCTCAGGGAAATAGTTTTATACTCCCAAATCCTCTCCACCTAAGATAGTCATAGAACCTGTGACAAGGCAGTAGAGACCTTTTCATGAGCAACCAATCAGATTCCAAGAGGAGAGGAAGCTCCTACCTCCAGCTTCACTTCACTTCTTGCCCCCATCATTTGTACCCCACCCCTGTTCCCTAACAAACATCAAGCATTTTTCCAGGCATGCATTGTCTTTGTCCATGGCCACTTCAGGACAATAAAACATGGTCTACCAGGCTTGGAGAGGGCATTCATGCACCAAACTAGGTGACAACAAAAGACAATCATGAATTGTAGGGTAGAATTGTAGGACCAGAACAGGCTCCAAGACCATGGAATCCAGCCTCCTCACCCTACAGACAAGGAAGCAGGCCTGGGGGTGTACCCATGCTCGCAGATACCACCCACAGCACCTGGTAGTTGAGGCCAAGCCCTCAACCCAAACTCCCTTCTCACGTGTTCACACACCTGCCTCTATCAGCCTCTAAACTAACTGAAACACACTTAAATAATTTAAGGGCTTCATTATTTTTTTTCTTTGGAGAAATAAAAAATAAACCAGAAACATTCCTCGTTAGCCAAGGCAGGCTCTGACAGAGCTTGGCAGCTGGGGAGTGTCTTTCTAAATCAAGAAACACCACATCTCTTTTGAAAGTGGGAGAAACAATTTGTACCTCTTAAATGTGAAGAGATGCATTTCTTTGCATGAACAAAATAACTGCCAAGAAATTGCTCAAGGTAAATGTTGGGCAAAATAGTCCACAAAGCAAGAGATATCATGCTTGTCAGAACCGTTTCCAATGAGAAGATAAGGCAGGGAAATTGTTTTTCCATTTGCAAATATGTTCTCCAAATTTCCCCTGGAAAATAAATACACATGAACTTGAGCATGGAAAAGCTGAATATCCAATTATTTGATAAAGAAAACAAGCTGAAATGGGCTTAAGAGAAAACAAATTATTTACCTGATGGCACAAGATTTCCACCATTACCCTCTGGGATTGTAACCAAGATCCCCAGTAGTGGAATGATGGCAACATTAACTGCACACTGTGTTTATCCACATACACAAATGGTGTGAAGATAATGAGGTCATGTGTGAAGAAACACCTATGGGGCCTCATTTAGTCTTGTTTATTTTTTAAATACCTATGACAGATCAAAATTATACTTATTCTGCGCATATATGATACAGAAATGTCAACTAGTTCTCACAGTCTCATAGGCGAAGTCACGCTGATGAGCAACTGAGAGCTGGAAGCCAGCACTGTGCTGGCAGAGATGCACCTTGGGTACCAGATGCACCTGGATGTGAACGTGTTTAATGTCCAAAGACCTTAGGCGTGGAAGTAAAGGTATTGCTGTGATAAACACCGTGACCAAGGGTGTTTAGCTGGCTTACACTGACTGCAGTCTGCCACTGAGGCAAGCCAAAGCAAGAACTCAAGGGGGGGGGGAGGGAGTCCAGAGCTAGGAACTGACGTAGAGACACAGAAGGACACAGCTTGCTTGTTGGCTTGATCCTAATAGCTTCCTGGCTTTTTTATAGAACCCATGACCCCCTGCCCATCAGTGTCGATACCCTCCCACAACAATTGTTAATCAAAAAAAAAAAAAAAGAAAGAAAGAAAGAAAGAAAGAAAGAAGAAGAAAAAAGAAAAACAACGCCCAACAGGCTTGCCTCCAGGACAACCTGATGGAGGCATTTTCTCAGTTGAGGTTCCTTCTTCCCAGATTGTAAGAGAAACTGAAGCCAGCCTACCCAAGCCACAGTCGCCCTGTCCCGGGAGCCTAGGCCAGCCTGCACACACATGCACAGATGACACTTCCTTCCCTGAGTCAAGCTGCCAAGCCTGCTTCAAGGCCCAGAGAAGCTGCTGGAGAGACACCTGACCTGGAGACACCAATGGGAAAAGGACATGGGGCAGAGTCAGCACCTGAGCCAATGGGACCTTGGGAGTGGGTATAAAGGCAGGCCTAACTTCCTTAATAAATGAGTCTGCAGCTGGGATACTCACTCCCAGTGCCTGAGTCATTGGTGCTGCATCATCTCACCCCCTCCCCCAAGGGGTGTCTGAGCAGGGTCACCCGAAACACCAGATGACCGACTCTAGCTTGTATCAAGCTGACAAAAACCTAACCAGCACAGACAGCAATAGAATGGCTTTCCAGGATCATATCCCAACTGCATGCTTAGGTCGTGCTCAAGCAGGGCAGGCCTGTGCCAATACCCCAAAAGGGAGTACTTCATACACATGACTCACCCTCTCTCTGGCCAGCCCCACATGAGAAGACCAGCACACCCGCCAACAAGCTGCTTTCAGAGATGGTGAGTACATGACAGGATGACCTGTCATCTGCTGGAACTTCATTTCTCAGAGCCTAGACTCTAGTTAGTTAAGACACCCCACTTGGCAACAGGATGTCTTCTTGCACAATCCATCTTTGGACTCCTGGCCTTCATTTTTTGCTTTAATACTGGATGTTTGGCCTGGATGGCTGCATCACACAAACAGACAGGGAAATGTGGAGAGAAGTTAATGAATTTCAGTTTGACCTGGTGTTTCAAGTGCCCATGGGGCCACAGTTCCTCCAACCAAGGCATGGGATTATTTTGTAGGTGTTTGAAAGAAAATGGCCACCAAAGGGAATGGCACTATTAGGAGGTGTGGCCTTATTGGAGTAGGTCTAGTCTTGTTAGAGGGAGTGTGTCTGTGTGGGGGTGAGCTTTGAGGTCTCCTATATGTTCAAGAGACCATCCGGTATCTAGGACCACTTCCTGTTGCCTGTGCAAGATGTAGAACTCTCAGCTACCTCTCTAGCACCATGTCAGTCCACACGCCCCTATATCGCACCATGATGATGGACTGAACCTCTGACATTGTATGCCATCCCAATTAAATGTTTTTCTTTTATAAGAGTTGCTGTGGCTATGGTGTCTCTTCACAGAAAAGAAACCCTAACTAAGATGGTAGAGGAGCTTGGAATTTAGTGTGAAGCTTGCCATCCCCTTGTTCTTCAGCCTGAGTACTTTGGCTGTCCTTCCTCTATTGTGTTTTGCCTTCCTGCCATATTGTGAGAAAGAAATGCTGTGTGAATGGATGGAGAGCTCTTCTGTAGAACATGGCGGCCTAGACCAGCATGGTACCCGTTGGTTTCTGTTCTAGTTTCACTTCTGTCACTGTGACAAATCAGCCTGATAAAAGCAACTTGGGGGTGAAAGGACTTGTTTGATTTACAATTCGAATTTTACAGGCCATCATTTCAGGGAAACCAAGGCAGCAGCTGGGGCAGCTGGTCACGGTGCATCCTTGGTCAAGAGCGAAGAGAGACAAACGCAGCCTTGCTTGCTTGCTGCATAGCTAGCTTCCTCCACTCTTCACAGCCTAGCTCGTGACATGGTGCTGTCCATGTCCAGGGTGAGTCTTCACACCTCAGTTAACAGTCATGACAATGCCTCACAGACATTCCCAGAAGCCAACCTTTGTTACGATAGCCCTTTCCCTCCAGCCTGGATCCACAGCCACTGTCAGCCCCAAATGAACACTCAGAGATTTATATTAATTATAATACTATTAGCCCATGCTAGGGCTTCTTACTGGTTAGCTCTATCTTGATTATTAATCCATAACTACTAATCTATGTATTTCTATGTGGTCTTATCTTACCAGAGAAAGGTCCAGGAACCTGCTACTCCTCTAGCATCCTACATGGCAACTGCTCTCTACCTACACATCAGAATCCTCCTCATCTCCGAGACCTGCCTATCTTGTTGCCCTATTGGCCACAGTGTTTCATTCATCAACAAATAAAATAAACATATTTACAGAATGACATCTCCCATCAAACCTTCATCAAGACTCTCCTCCTGGTGATTCTCCATTTTGTCAAGCTGACAGAACTAGTACACCTTCGTTCTTTGAATCCATTCGGCTGTCTTCAGCCCTGAACCACTCCATGGTACACTTGTATGCACACTGTCTCTCATTTATTTTCCCTTTCCCTTCTCCCTTGGGGCATGGGTATCAATTACTATGTTATTGAAATGGAGTAAGGGTGATTGTTAATACAGAAAGTTCTAGAACTAGGGTTGTGTCCACCAGAGGACTGGAAAAAGAAATGTAGGTATGTATACCTGATGAAGAAGTTGGAAGCTCCTCTTCCAGCCAAAACAACGTGATCACAAGCAGGGTTGGGCCTGCTTGTTTTGGGGTGGGTGGAGTCCACATCAAGAGTGGCATGGAAAGAGGATGGCTTTGATCCTGACAAGGAAAAGTCAGGGGTATTCCTGAAGATAACAGGCAACCTTGAAGGTATGCTGTGCTGAGACATTAAGAGGGGAGCCATGGCATCAGATGGGCTCAGCATCCAGGGAGAGCAGACCCCCCTGGAGCATCTTTCTCAGTGCTGCGTCCTATGGGTAGCAGTGGAGAGAGAGAGACCTGAGGGATGACGACCCTTGCCTTGCAGGAGGGGTCACCCATTATGCCTGGTATCTCCCAACCCCACTGCGTGCATCTCTTTGAGGGCAAGACCTTTCTGCCCTCCACCTTCAGTCACAGCATATGGACTATGTGCCACTTGACTTGGGGCTAGACTCCACTATGGCATATAACTCTGCGGGGTTAGTGTACTGTGGGGCTTAGGTGGGACTCAGGAAAAGGGAACGTGTCCACACAGTAAATGCCTGATTATTCAGATGATAGTCCAAAAAATGTCACAGCTGATGGTACAGATGGAGACTACTAGCCCTCAGAGGGGTTTCTGTGTGTGGCCCTCAGTGTCCAATCACAGCCTTGTTGCACAGGCTGACACTATCACTGGGCAGAGCAACCAGGCTTCTAAAGCCTCCTCCACTGTTCATATGGGATGGGAGACAGGATTGTCACTTAGCCATTTATTCTGTTCTGGGGCCTCTAACTTGGAACCTACTGGCCAGACAGAGACAAGGAACAGAAACCCAGCACGTTCTTAAGTCTACAACGAAAGTGAAGGAGAGGTCATTCTCCTAAGACCACTCTCCCAGGGATGTGGAACATCCCTTTACACTGTATGAATATATGTCACTGTGATTGGTTTAGTAAAGAAGCTGTCTGGCCAATAGCTGGACAGGATAAGGTTAGGTAGGAGAACCAGACTAATGACACTGGGAAGAAGAAGGACAGAGTCAGGGAAGTCATCAGAGAGATGGAGAGGAAGCAGGGCATGCAAGAGAAGGAAAAGCCATGAGCCTTGGGGTAGCACATAGATTAATAGAAATGGGTTGATTCAAGTGATAAGAGCTAGCTAGTAATAAGCCTGAGCTATTGGCTGAACATTTATAATTAATATTAAGTTTCTTGTGGTTGTTTGGGAGCAACTTCTGGGGCACAGAAAAACTCCAACTGCATAGGAACACCAGTTCTAGAAATTCTTGTGCTGGTTCAACATAGCGACCCTGTAGCCTACCTGGGCCACAGCACCCTTTAAAGGCAGGGTGTGATGTTGTTTTATTTCTATTCTAAGCATCAGGCTGCCCACTTCTACCAGAGCAGGGTACATTCCTGTGGACCTTGTGAGACAGATGCATTTTCTACTGAGTTAGGGACTAGCTCTAGACATGGTAATGGACTTCTGCATGAAAAGTTTTTGGGTTGTTTGTTTGTTTTTGTTTGGTTGGTTGATTTTTTGCATGAAAAGTTGAAGCAAAACTGAAACTGTGAATTCTGTGAAATTTGTTTTGGTTATCTATGGTGGCTGAATGAGATATCCCACCACAGTCTTAGACCTTCGAATGTTTGTTCCCCAGTTGGTGGTGCTGTTTGGAGAGGTTTGAGGCATGTGGACTTGGAGGAGGGCTCTGAGAGTATAAAAAGACCCTTGCCACTTCAGGTTCACTCTCTCTGCCTCCTGTTTGTGATCCAGAATGTGAGTTCTTGGCTTCCAGCTCCTACTATGCTCTGCCATCATGGGCTCTTCTCCCTAGGGAACCATAAGCCCAAATAAACCCTTCCTTCTACAAGCTGTCTTGGTCAAGGTGTATTACCACAGCAGCAGAAAAGCAATACAGTCTCTCTAGCCTTTTCTGTTTCCCATTCATGAGTCAAGCTCTCCCTTTACTCCTTCTAGCACCTTCCTGAACTCTAAAAATATGCTGGACAGTGGTGGCACATGCCTTTAATCCCAGCAATCGGGAGGCAGAGGCAGGCGGATCTCTGTGAGTTTGAGGCCAGCCTTGTCTACAAAGTGAGTTCCAGGACAGCTTCCAAAGCCACAGAGAAACCGTCTTGAACCCCAAAAATAAAAAAATAAAAATAACCAACATAGGACCTGATAAAACAACTCGCCTAAGCAGTTCCTTGCATTACCATGTGGCCCATCAGGTACTCACCTTGCTGTGGAATGAAATGGTTTCACAGGACCCCTCTGGAAGGGTTTTTTTAAGTTTTTAATTCTTTTAAAGATTTATTTATTTATTATGTATACAGTATTCTGCCCATAAGCCAGAAGAGGGCACCGGATCTCATAGATGGCTGTGAGCCACCATGTGGTTGCTGGGAATTGAACTCAGGACCTCTAGAAGAGCCGTCAGGGATCTTAAGCTCTGAGCCATCGCTCCAGCCCCTCTGGAAGACTCACTTATTTTTTTAAAGCTCACCAGAGTGTTCCCTGGTTTTGCAAGTTATACCATGCTGGCCCTGAATGCATAAGATGCTGGGGAGTGACCTTGGAAGAGACTTGGATGCAATAAGTGGTGGGACATTACTTCAGAGGGGTCGTCTTGACTCTTCTCCACCCCAGGCTTTACCTTAGGACCTGCCAAAGAGACCATACAAAATTGACAAACATCTATGAAATACCAAATAAATAAATAAATAAATAAATAAATATTTAAAAATTAAAAAAATGTGTGTTATCTCACTTAATCCTCCTGAGTCTTATGAAAGCAGATTTTAATTACCCTAATTAAAACAGTAATTCTATTTGCAGCTTCCTCTGCAATCAACATCCCTTTGACCTGGAGATATGGTGCTCTCTGGGTATCCCTTTCCCCTTTGACATGCTGTCTTTGCTGTCTAGGGTTCTCATCATCCAGAACTTGTTTTCTTTTTAAGATTTATTTATTTATTATTTATTTTCCTTCATTTATGCCTGTGTACCTTGTGTATGCCTGGTGTCCTCAGAGGCCAGAAGTTGTCAGTACACTGAAACTGGAGTTACAGATGGTTGTGAGCCCCCATATGGGTGCTGGAAACCGAACCCAGGTCCTCTGCAAGAGCAGCCAGTTGCTTGACCACTGAGTCGTCTCCAGGCCCATGACTTTTCTTTTCTTTTTTTTCCGACACAGGGTCTCACCATGTATTCCTGACATACCAGACTGGCTTTGTACTTAAAGAGATTTACCTGTGTCTTACCTGCCTGGTGCTGGCATTAAAGGAGTGTGCCACCACACCCACAGGCGGCTCCTCTTCCTTTTCCTCCCCTTCCTCCTCCTTTTGAAATCCGGGAACTTTGCCTGCCATATGTATGTCCCAACTCTCCCGGCAATGGCAATGCAGGTCCTTTGAGCTCTGTGCCTTCCCAACACCCATGCTTACCTACATCACAGGTCCTTGATATTCCACATACCTAAAGCAGAATGGAGAACTGAGCCCCACTCATCTGCTACCCACCATCGCCAGAAAAAAAAAAATCTGATTTTTAGACAGTGGTCCTTGGTTCTTATGTGGTCAACCTGTCTGTTTCCCCCCAAGTGGTCTCTCAACCTCCATTGCTGTCATCATCTCTGCATGGGCACAGACATCACTCCCCCAGGAGAATGCTCTGTCTGTCTCTTCTAAACCCACTGTCCACTGTTGAGCTTGAGCAATTTTATAAAATACAGATATCACTGAGCCACTCCTCTGCTTAAACAGTCAATAACTGGCCAAAGCCCCCCAAATATGGACCCCACCTTTTACATATGCAGTCTGAGGCTCAGCCAGCATCCATCCCTTGGACAGCTTCCCACTCTCATTTAACCTGGCTGTACCATTGCTATGAATATTCCTGCCTCCTTAGCTTTTTGTTGTTGTTGTTGTTGCCTTGGAAGTTCAAAGGCCCAGGTACCTTGGTACACTGGCAGGTCCAGAGGGGACCCGCATCTAAAGGGGCCACGTTTGGCTACTTCCAATTTTAAGCAGAAATGTAACTTGATGACATCTGCATTTTACTCTTAGGTAGTGTTGTTAATCTCTTATCATGGGGTCTAGTCTTCTTCCCTCTAATGTGGCTAAGAGCTTGTGGCTATTCCAAAAGGCTATAGAAGAGTTTGGTTCCTATCACCAGACACTACATTCCAAGATTGCCAGTGCATTCCACAACATGCATGCATGCATGCCTATCTTTAGAGTGTTCGTGCTCACTGAACCCTTGATTACTTAAGATCCTTGACCCCCTTCACCTGCCTGGAACTCTTTGCTGACTGAAATCCACGGAGTCTTAAGAAGTTAAAACTTAAAGATGTCGTAGAGATTATCCTTTACTCCTCATTTCATGGAAGCCAGAAGTGGAGTTCAGGGAGATGAAGTGATTTACCCTGAATCATAAACTCGTGAGAGGGGAGTAGGACTGAGCTCAGTTCAGACAACATCGATAGGAAAGGGATCCCACAGTGGGGTGGTGGCAGGGGACAGTGACTTGGGAATTGTGGGTGCTGGCTGCCTGGATGAAGAGGTTGCTTTGGGCAGGATCAGTGTAGCAGGAAGTCTGAGGTGTCTGAGAGGGACAGCTGGGTTAGCAGGCACCAAACCTGTACCTCTGCTCTACTGGCCCTGTCAGAATACAGTGTCCTCTGGAGAGCAATTTCCAATGACACCGGCAACACGGCCATCAGTAATACCAGCTCAGATTTATTTATTTCTTTTTTCTCTCTCTTTTAGTTTTTTTAAGTCATTTTTTCTTTGAATCAGAAACAAGATTGTTTTACATGACAATCCCAGTTCCCTTCTCCCTCCCGTCCCCCCCCCCGCCCCCGAACTAAAACCCTACCTATCACATACCCTTTCTTCTATTCTTCATTGACTCAACCTTTCTGCTCCCTCATGACCTCTGCATCCTTCTCTTCCCTTCTCATTCTGGTAGCTCCCTCCCCCCTCTTCCCGTACTCTCAATATGCTCAGGAGATCTTGACCCTTTCCCCTTCTCCAGGGGACTATGTATGTCTCTCTTAGGGTCCTCCTTGTTTCCTAGCTTCTCTGGCAGTGTGGAGTGTAGGGCCCGCTAAGATTTATATTGTGTTTAAATCTTTCCATAGGCTCACTCCATAAGGAGCTGCTATTAGCATCAACAACAGCACAAAGAAGGGATGCTCAGAGACAAGGAGAACACATGGGAAAATGTGCAGATGTACCGTGGAAGTGTGCTACGCATCACTGCCTGTCATTCCATCACCACCTCACACCTCTATCTTGTCTGTGATGTATCGATGGTAAGATGGCTATACATCCAGGTTTTAGGGATGGCTTGGTAGATGTAAGGCTAGTTTTACTACCTTAGAAACTAGTTTGAGAATAGGCAAGTGGTTGCCCCTGGGCCACAGAACATGAGTCAGAAGCAGTGTGTGGAGTATGCTGTTGCCTGAAAGCCTTTCTTCACTCTTCTGGGATAACAAGGGGAACCATTTCCCCTCTTCTCTGGCTAACAGTGAAGAACCATGCAGTCCTGACCACTACAAGATTAGGATGCAAGCCAGCTCCAGAAGGAGACTGGCAGAAACCAGAAACGAGAGTAACAGAATCCGAGTCTTTGGGATTTGCTGAGCCATGGAGGCAGCCGGACTCTGGGACTTGTGCATAAGTGAGACGAGCTGGAGGGAAGTTCACACTGTAGCTGAGCTTCCCACAGCAGAGAGGCTGAACCTTGTGGTTATAAAGAATAAATATCACACACACACACACACACACACACACACACACACACACACGTAACCCTGGCTAAAACTTGCCATGTAGAACAGGCCAGCCTCAGACTCACAGAGGTTCACCTGTCTCTTGCTCTGTCTGTACTGTTTTCATATATTCACTAAACACACTGAGCAAGCTTTCCTGCATGGTCTTCAATGGATGTCACACTGTATTCAGACCCTGGCGCTCTCTTTTGGTGTTAGGCAAGTTTTACACTCACCCTTTCATAACTCACCTTTTTCATTTACAGCAGCAGGGTAACAATACTCATGAAGTTGTTGAGAGGATGAAGTGAACTAATATACAGAAAGATGTATTGTTATTACGTGAGTGTACACGAGATGTATGTATGTGGGCATGAGAGCTGCAGTGCACGTGTGGAGGTCAGAGGACATCTCTGTGTGCTGTTATCAGTGACATCAAGGCAGGATTTGAGAGACAGAAAGAACACTAGGAAGAAGAAAGGTGGCGTCTTGAGGAGACATGGAGGAAGCATGATACGTAGGAGATGAAGTAACAAGCCATGAACCATGTGGCAACATGTAAACTATAGAAATGGGTCAATTTAAGTTATAACAGCTAGTTTGAAACAAGCCTAAGCTATCGCTATTGGCCGAGCTTTCATAATTAATAAGTCTCCATGTGGTTATTTGGAAGCTGACTGGCAGGACAGAGAAAGACTTGCTACACATGCACACAACAAAACACAACAAAACAAAACAAACAGAAAGAAGCCCAAACTCGGGGTGGACTGGCAGATGCAGGGAGTGAGACAGGGAAACCAGAATGTTAAGCAGATCCGGGTTTGACAGAGTTGAGATTCTCACTGATAGTGCTGTGTACGTGGCTCTTGTGGATGTGAGTCAAAACCCAAGGGGACCTCTGAAAAGATCATGCCAACCTCCCAACTGCAAGGAGACAACTGCCCCTGGGTCAGACCTTGCTTTGCTTTTTCTTCCCTTCCTCATTTCAGCTGGGCCTCCAAAACACAAAGGCTAAAATCCAATAAGAAATCTGTTTCTGTTGTATTATCTTGGCTGCCTAGGAGACTTCTTTTGGCAGGCTCTCTGTCAATTTGTCCAAGTCTGGGGCCTCTTTTTCCTGGAGTTTCCATCACCTTGTTTGAAAAAAAAAAAGAATCTAAGCAACATTGTGCAAGGTCGGAGAGGTCGCTTGTCCTTTCAGTATGAGGGCCAAACCCAGGACCTGAGCATACCAAGAGAGCCCTTGGTCTCTGAGCTACGCCCCCTGCCCCACTTCGGTGACCTGAAGATCTTCAGTTTTTTTTTTTCTTTTGTTTCTTTGTCTCTCAGAGACACCAGAAAAACTGCACGCTATGACACCCAGAGCAATCATGATGACAATGACAAAGATAACTACAGAGGCTACTCTTTGTTGCTTGTATTGTCGGTCACGAAACCAAGTATTTTACATGTTAGCTCAATCGTTAACAGAAATGGCCAGAGTTAATGGCCATTTATCATAATATGGCATATGATAAAATTAAAAGGCATAAAATGGTTTCATTGTCGTAAAAGTTCAGCCTACCAAGAAGCTATACCAGTTGTGAACTTTTATGCACCTAACAATACACTTTCAAAAATGCATAAAGCAAAAATATTGCCAGTAATTTTTATGAGGATGGATCATCAGAGCTATTATCATAAAAGTTAACACACCTTTACTCTAAACTAGATCAAACTAACAAAATTAAGTATAGAGGGAATATATAATAATAAAATATTATACCTAACTCTATACTCAACAGGGATTATATCTACATTGCCCTGAAATACGGAAAGAGCTATTATAACTGATTATATATTAATCACAACGAACAATTTTGTTGTTGTGTTTTGTTTTCGAGACAGGGTTTCTCTGTGGCTTTTGGAGGCTGTCCTAGAACTAGCTCTTGTAGAGCAGGCTGGCCTCGAACTCATAGAGATCTGCCTGCTTTTGCCTCCTGAGTGCTGGGATTAAAGGCATGTGCCACCACCGTCCGGCTATAAGGAACAAACTTTAAAGATTGATTATATTTGTATTTGGGTATACACATGTGTGTTTACTTATACAAGTGCATGTGTGTATGTGTGTCTGTGTGTGGCCAGAAGAGGGCATCAGATTCCCTGGAGCTGGAGTTACAGGCATTTGTCAACCATCCAGCATGGGTGCTGGAAACCAGACTCTGGTCTTTGGGCAGAACAGTAAGTGCTCTCAATCGCTAAACTACCTCCAGTCCTCAAATAGAGTCATCGTTTATAAATTAAAAGGGAGCATCAGGGAGCATATTTATTAAAAATTATCAAACTAAGCCAGCAAATTGGCTCAGAAGGTAAAGGTCCTTGCTGCCAAGCCTGACAGCATAAACTCAATCCCCAGATCCCATAAGGTAGAAGTAGAAAGCCAACTGCTGCAAGTTGTTTTTTGACCTATACACATAGACACACATACACAATATATAAATGCAAAAAAATGAAATGTCAATCCAAATATATGTACATATGGTATATTTGAGAAATATATATGTAGCCCAGGATGGTCTCAAACTCTCTAACCTCCTGCCTCAGCATCCCAAGTGCTGGGAATATGGGCACCAGGCCCATATAACCTCCATCCTTGACTCCATCCCCAGCTATCTGCTCATTAGCCCATTGGGAAAGGATGGCTGCAATTCCACAGAATCCTTCATTTCATCTATCGATGTTGTGCACTGTCTGGACCTCCCTTTGCTAGTCTTTTACATGAGACACAAATACCACCACAATCTGAGGTCTGTGCAAATACTGCTTCCTCACAAACCAACTTTCCAACTGTGTGCCTGTCAAGTCCCTGAATGTCTAATCAAACCATTAACTATAGGCAATGAATTGATGTGGGCCCAAACATCTGGCCATCTAGCATTTCAGGAAAAAAGAATTACCACACACTCTGTTCAAAGTCTAGTCCAATGGAAAGCTTCCCTTCCCTAGCCTGGCCTGTTGCCTTCCCCAAGGTGGTCTGTAGCTATCCTCTTTCAGGTGACACCTACAAATCAGGAAGGATGACTGTAAATAGGCCTCAAGCATTTTCTTCCTCAGTCATAGGCTGAAGTCGTAGACTGACGCTAAGGGTAGCATGAGTGAGGGGTGTTCACACCCAAGCTGCTTCTGAGTCCTCATGCAACTTGGTCTTCAGGACCCAACCCTATCTAATCTCAAAGCTTTCACACGATTTGATAAAGCCACTGGCAACTTTCAGACTTGGTAGGTCCAACAATGCCCATACACCCGGGGCAGCGCTTTCACACAGTAATGTGGCAGCTTCCGGCCAAGTGTTCAGTCTCAGGCCTGGTAGCAGGCCATTGGTGGTTCCCTGAAGGGGAACTGTTATTCTCAGAGGGTAGCATCGCTTAACTAAAAATTTCCAAGGATCCGTGCTGTGATTCAGCAAAGCAGGCTGCCAAACGCTCCTAAAGTATCCTTAGAATTGCAAGACCATTGTATGTGATGAGTCACATGACCCAATTAGCAGAACAGTTTGCACAGCAGCTCTACCTGTTCTAGAGATGAAGCTCATTCTGAGAATTACTCAAAATAGGCACCTTCTAGCCAGTAAGCAACAGAGCCAAAGCAGCATATCCAAATGAGAAATATATCCCCACCAAAAACCCAAGAGCCCCAGGAGGCACTGTGGGAAGACCTTGATCCAACAACATAAGTGTCACCAGAGAAGAGAAATATCTTCATATCTCAGATAATTGGACCCCTAAATGACTTTCTCTTCAGTGGAGTTCATCTCCCACTCTCCACACACAAATAAACCGTGCCTAGAACTTACTGATTACCATGTCCACTAAGCACATTGTCAGACCAGTGCAATGTCCTATGGAAGGGAAAGGCAGTCAGGGGCCTGTGGACTTCATTAGTGCAGGGATGGACAGTTTATTTACTCCTGAGATAGCCTACTGAAGACAGATTGCTGCCTCATTAGGCAAGAGCCAACTTCTGAGAGCTTCATTAATAGGCAAAAAGAAAAGTGTGTGTACCAGATCACAAGCTACATACCAGATGTGTGATGATCTTGTCACAGTCACATCTGTAAACACCTACAATTGAAGTTACTGCCTGAATCAGTTTAAGACAGTCCACTGTCGCTCTTGGCATCATGGCCTCTGTGTCTTTCAAGGCTACCAGTCAGGCAATTCCTCCAAGAATGCAATATTGCTTTCAGGATGCATTTTTGTAAGAGAGGCTGGTCTATAACATCCACTGTGGTTTTTATCACAATAACCCTTGTTCCATGCACCAGGGAACCACTGTGGGAATGTTGCCAGTTGCTGAGTGTATATATTCTAATTATGCATTCTAGGCCTAGGAAAATAACCACAAGATGGGTTTGGGTACAGTGAGATGGGCCTGAACCAGCTATGACTTCTCCATTTCTCAATAACAAATTCTTCTGAGCTTAAAAAAAAAGTCAAACATGTATTATCTGGTAATTTCTGTCAATCAGGAATCTGGGAACCACTTCATTAGATGTCTGGCTCAAGGCCTCTTGGGAGATCACAGCCAAGCTATAGCCTGGAGCTACAGTTTTCTCATGACTTGATTGGAGAAGACAGACTACTCCTAAACTCACTCGCCTGGCTGTCAGCAGCCTGCAATCCCTCGCCGCAGCCTGCGCATGTTGCGTGGAGTTGCTCACAGTACAAAAGCATTCATCTCCAAGTACAGGGACTCGGAGAAAGGAGAATGAACCAAGCCAGAGGTTGCAATTACAATTTAATGTAAGAGATGCTGCACGGTGTTCACTTAGGCTTCACGTATACTAAAAAAAAGTGATGCTGTCTGTCATGTCCGCCACGTTCTATTTATCAGAAGTGAGCCACAGGGTCCAACCCACTCTCAAAAAGATTACATGGATCTATGGATGTGAGGCAACAGGGATCAAAAATAAGAATATCTATTCTGACTAACATAGAAATATACATTAAATCAGTAGTGGTAGCGCACATGTAATCCCAGAATTTGTGGGACAGAAATGGAAGAAGCTTAAGGCTACATAGGGTTACATAGCAAGACCCCATTTTAAAAACAAATGGGGCTGGGGGGATGTCTCAGCTGTCAGAAGCATTGGCTTCTATTCCAGAGAACCAGAGTTCAATTCCCAGTGCCCACGTGGCAGTTCATGACAGTCTGTTCTAGGAGGTCTGACACCCTCTTCTGACCTCTGAGGGCATGCAATTGGGACACAGACATGTGTGCAGGAAAAACACCCCTAAACAGAGAAAAAAGTAGTAATAATTAATAATAATAATAACATCCTGGGGCAGTGGTGCATGGCTTTAATCTTAGCTCTCAGGAGGCAGAGGCAGGCAGATCTCTGAGTTCTGGGCCAGCCTGGTCTACAGAGTGAGTTCTAGGACAGCCAGGGCTACATAGAAAAAAACCTGTCTCAAAAAAACAACAACAAAAACAAGCAAACAAACAAAAACCCAGAGGAGGAGAAGAGGAAAGGTAAGAATGAAATATCAAAATGAAACTCAAGGCACAGAGCAATGAGAAGCATTTGCCTAGAGTCTTTAGTTACTGTTCAAACCTCGTCTTAATTTCAAAGCTTCATTCTAACTCTGGCTTCTCCCCAGAAGTCCCTCAGTTGGGAAGTTTTGTCTGTTTGGAAGTAAGTTCTCATATACCCCAGACTGACCTAGAACTTGGTATGTACCTGAAGAGGAATTCTTCAGGTTGAGTTCTTTAACTTGAGTTCTTGATTCTCCCGGGTCTATATCCCAGGTGTTGGGATTACAGATGTGTGCCTCAGGCCTGGTTTACATGGTGCTGGAGGGGTTTGAACCCAAGGCCTTCTGCATGACAAGCAAACATGGTACCAGCTGAGCCACATCCCTGTTTGTTTGTTTCTTAACTCAATCTCACTATGTAGCCCTGGCTGGTCTTGCCCTATCAGCAATCCTGCCTCAGCCTCCCAAATACCAAGATTACAAACATGTGCCACCAGGTCACCATGGCTAGGTCATCTATGGAAGGTGGTCTTTCCTCTGGTTCTTACTTTCCTATCTACTTATTACCATTGAGAGAGACTCAGAAATGGGCACATTCACCATAATCAGTTCTAAGACATCCTCCAACAAAACACAGGAGCTGAGGTACAGTTCAAAAGCAAAGCACTTGCCTAACATGCACTAGGCCTCAGATTTCATTCCTAGTGTGCAAACACACACACACACACACACACACACACACACACACACACACACACACACACAACCATGTGTTCTCAGACAGACACAATTGTGTATCTGACTTAGTCACTATTCTGTTGCTTCGAAAAGACAGAATACTGAGTGTTACAGCTTGGATAGAAAGGAATTCTGGCAATCAGGAGCCAAAGAATACCACAGGTCACAGTAAGCACAGCAGCTTACAGCCCTGCTTCAGGGAAAGGCTTCCCGAGTGTATCAGCTCTGCTCCAGCAGGAGAGGGTTTCCCAGGCAAAATTATTACAGTTCGGCTTCAGTCCCCAGGAGAGGGGAGTGTAACAACTTCGCTTTGCCAGGGAAGGTTTCCCCAGGGAAAAGTGTTACAGCCCTGCTCTGCTCCATCCAGGGTCGTCTCTGCTCTCATGAAAGAAGGTCATTCAAGCCTCATTCAAGAGATTTATTGGGAGGGAAGAATTCAGGAGAGTGGCTGCCCTCTACCAGGATGGCAGAGGACAGCAGGGCAGCCTGAACAACCATAAGCTGAAGAGGCACAGGGTTTATATAGGGATTCTTAGGGGGGCAGAGTTTTTCCAGGGTAGGCAATGGTCAGATTTCAATCCCTGAGCTCAGAGTGGCTAGATGTCCTGCTCAGGGATTGGTTAGTTTTCTGCACAGGTTTAGGGTCAGATTTGGCTCTGGTTTCAGGGCCAAAATGTGTTTCTTTCACTGGTCCTTTTTAACCTTTTGGCTCTAGTTTTAAGACCAGAGTGTATTTCTTTCACTGGCTCTGATTCCAGGGACAAAGTGTGTTTCTTTGGCACTGGTTTCAGGGCCAGGGTGCATTTCTTTGGTTTTGGTTGCAGGGCTAAAGTGTGTTTCTTTGGCTGGACCCTTTTCCCTACAGAAGGAGCTCCAGTTGCACAATTGGATAATGCAGTACTTATCTGACAAAAATGGGAAGGAGCTCTGGCCCTCAGTTGTCATCTTTCTACATCTGCATCTATGAGATGTACTGTTCACCTGGTCCTCAGCCCCAGAGCCCCTCCAGATGTTGCCCTGGGCACTTCTGTGCCTTCTCAGAGGCTCCATAATCACTCAACTGAGTTTCCATGCCCTTGGACAGGAAATGCCTATGAGTCTCATGATGTCACCGGAAGCAAAGCACACGCTTCCTCTCTCCCTGGATCCTTGTTTGTGTCTACAGTCCTGTGAGTTGGCTCTGGGGGAGGGTACATCCTGCTCCATCTCAGATGCTTCCCTTGTTCTCTCAGTCTTCTGGAGACTTAGATAAGTCTCAGTTGGAAAAGAGGGAAGGAAAGCTAGCCGGAAGTGATCAGTGGCTATTCTGAGTCTTCCTCTCCTCTTCCTGGACTTAGGATTTTGAAACACAAAAGGTAAAATTCTCTTTCTCTACCTCCCCCCCTTCCCTCTATTTTTCTGTAGCAACCTTCCCAATGACAGACAATCCATGTCTTAAGAACAGTAAAATGAGCTGGGTGGTGGTAGGCACACCTTAAATCCCAGGACTTGGGAGGCAGAGGCAGGGAGATCTCTGAGTTTGAGACCAGCCTGGTCTGAGTGAGTTCTAGGACAGTCAGAACTACAAAGAGAAACTCTGTCTCAAGAATGAATGAATAAATAAATAAATAAATAAATAAAACAAAAGGAATGAATGAATGGGAAAGGGAGCTGAGTGGGGCAATATGCATTGTCTAGAATCCCAGCATTTTGGAAGCTTGAGGCAAGAGAATGACAAGTTTGAGGCCAGACTGGAGTAAATAGTATGTTCAGGCCAGCTTGATATACAGCAAGACTCCCCCTGAAGGGACCAGCCCCTCAACCAGCCCCCAGCTTTAGCAACCATAACACGCTACAGAAAAGACCCAGCAAGACAAAGGTCCCTGACTCAGCAACATATGCTTGCCTGACCTTGCCCGACCTCCTAGTCATGAGGAAGCCAGATACCCTCCATGTGGCAAGGAACCAATCAGAAGTTAGCTGGCAGCCTCTGGATGTGCTTTATGGTAACAGTGATGTGCAGAGCATAGCAACCAGTTGACCAACACAGGACAGGTGGCCCAAGCCCAGAAATGCACCAATCCTGAGACTGTTGTGGACCCTAGACATTCCCCTTGCTCTGCCCCAATAAAATACCTGCCCCTCAGTCCCTCTGGGTCCTTCTCACTCTACCTACTGGGTCAGACAGACGGAGCAACAGAGTTAATACAGTTAACTCGCTAAATAATAAGAATTTGCAAGCCAGGCATTAGTGGCGCACACCTTTATAATCCCAGCACTCGGGAGGCAGAGGGAGGAGGATCTCTGTGAGTTTGAGGACAGCCTGGTCTCCAGAGAGAGTGTCAAAGTTACACAGAGAAACCCTGTCTTGGAAATAATAATAATAATAATAATAATGACTTTGCTTTTGCATTGGAACGGGTCTCTTGGTGATTTGGGGGTTCAGAATTTGGGCACAACCCCACACACACACACACACACATATTCCAAAACAGGGGATAAGTAGGAGATGATCCTAGGGTAACTAGAAAGAACTATGGGGGAGACATAGCAATTCACAATGATGCCCTACCACAATGAAAGATGTGTCTCAGCCCTAGATAAAATATTTGCTTATAAATCACAGTCCTTAATTCTCTTTCACATCTTTCTTAATTTTACTTCACAGTCCTGTAACGATAAGTAGTTACGCCATCCACCTGAGCCCCGCCACCATGTGGGAGCCTGAAATAACACACAGAGTCTTATATTAATTACAATGTTGCTGGCCAATGACTAGGATATCCTATCTGCTAACCCAGTCTTAATTATCAACCATAACCATTAATCTGTATAGTTTATAAAGACTTATCTGATCGAGGAGGCTGGCGGCATGTGTCCTCTCTTCCTGGGCTCACATCGTGACTCCTCCTTACTACATTTCCCAGAATCCTCCTCAACTCCTAGTCCCACCTATCCTGCTTCCTCATTGGCCAACAGTGCTTTATTCATCAACCAATAAGACAAACACATACACAGAAGGACTTCCCCCATCACAGTCCTTAATTATTTTTTCACAAGGGAGAAAACTTGAATGGCCCGAGTCTCCACAGATTAAAGAGAATATGAGGCATATCCCCTTCCCATAAGAGTGATAATCCCAACACTCAGGAAGCAGAGGCAGGCAGATCTCTGTGAGTTCAAGGCCAGTCTGGTCTACAGAGTGAGTTCCAGGACAGCCAAGGCTACACTGTCTCCAGAAAAAAAAAAAAAAAAAAAAAAAAAAAAAAAGAGTGATTGTTACAGGTTCAATTATGTCTCCCACAAAAAAACATGTGGAATTCCTAACTCTGAATACCTCACAATGTGAACTTATTTGGAAACAGGATCATTGAAGGTACAGTTAGCCCTGATGGAGTCACACTGGAGAAGAGCGAACCTGTAATACAACGTGGTCTCAGAGATGGCTTATTGTCAGCTTGGATTTAGAGTCACCTAAGAGACACATCTCTGGGTGTGTTTGTGAGGATGTCACCAGAGAGGTTTACCTGAGGACAGGCAGCATCAAGGCCTCAGACTGAAAAAGGAAAGGGAAGCCAGCCAAGCTTCGTCTTTCTCTGCTTCCAGACTATCATGTGACAAGCTGCCTCGGGTGCCTGTTGCCATTTTGTCCCCACCATGACTGACCATACCTTCTAACCATAAACCAAAGTTAACCCATCTTCCCTCTAGCCAATTTTATCCAGTATTGTCACAACGGTGATTATCTGTAGACAAAGAGAATAGACAGAGATATCAAAAAGATGGTGATATAGTTGAGATGTGGGATGTCCCTCCCAAAGGTCCATATATCAAAAGCTGTTCCCCAGAGTGACTCCACTGGAAGATGGCTTAACCTTTCTGTGGTCAATTGGACCATTGCTTCAGACCTGTGACTGCATATCAAGATGAGGGCAGAGGTGACAGAAAACAAACAAACTAAAACCATCTGGGTGTGGTGTGACATACCTTTGATCCTGTCTCTTGGAGTTCCAGGACAGTCTGGTGAACATAGTGAGTTTTAGGGTAGCCAGGGGTGTAGAGAGAGACCTGTCTCAAAAAATAAACAAACAAAACCCAAACCACTCCCTTTGTGGTCAAGAAGTGGTGACAGAGGAAGGGACCAGAATCCCTCCATCTCTTTTAAAGGTAAAGACTCATCCCTACCATGTAAAGGCTCAGCCATCTTCCAATGGAGTCCCCTTGGAGAATAGCTTTTACCATGATTTCAAGGGCTGAGCTATAGAATGTGTTCCAGTCTAGCCTGGGCTATAGAGTGAAACCATGTCACAAAAACACTGAAACACAAGTCACAAACTCAGAACGGAAGAGTGGCTGCAGAATAATGCAGAATAAGCTGCATGGCATTGAGCAGATCCATGAGAGCTGTCCAGACATGGCAGGCTCCACCCCAGGCTCTTGAGAGCTGTCCAGACATGGCAGGCTCCACCCCAGGCTCTTCCCTAGTCCTCGGCAGTGACAGCATCAGTACCAAGAGGGTTCTATCACTGTGACCTCTGGGGCCTCCTGCTCTAAGATCGTCTAAGAAACAGCTTCCAACCCCAGTGCAGTCTTTCCAGAAGTGGGATCCCAGGTCACTGTTGCTGTGATAAAACACTACGACCAAAAACAACTTGGGGAATTAAGAGCTGGTTTCATTTTGCAGCTTTCGGGTCACGATTGATCACTGAAAGAAGTGAGGGTAGGAACCTGGAGGCAGGAACCGAAGCAGGGGCCACTGAGGGTGTTACTTACTGGCTTATTCCTCATGGCTTGTTCAACCTGCTTTCTTATAGAACCCAGAACCACCAGCCCAAGGATGGAATTGTCTGCAGTGAACTGGGCCCTCCCGTATCAACCATCAATCAAGAAACTGCCCTGCAGACTTGTCCACAAGCCAATCCTATGGAGACATTTTCCCCATCAAGATGCTTTCTTCCCAAATGTATCTAGGTTTGTGTCATGGTGACAAAAACAACCGGCACATGTGGTGGGTGACTCTCATTTTCATCACAAACGCCTTAGATCACTGGAACAAGCAGGATACGCCCCCATATCTAGGAAGTTTGTGCTTGTGTTAATCCCAACTTCGAGAACAAGACAACTACCACAATTAGAGCCAAATTTGAAGCAAACTTGATTATTTTTATTGGGGTACACCCAAGAGCTGGCCATCAACTGCCCCCTAAGTCGGGTTAAAGAGAGCAGTTCCAAATCCATCTCTTGTGTCCCTTTAGGAGTAAAATCACAAGTACTTTTACAGAAGGGAGACAATGGGGCAATAAGGAAATAAAAAAAACATGATTAATGAGGGGTCAGGGATGGTAAGGGTATGCTCAAAAACAAATCAAGGTCTATGGGTTGGGGAAGGTCAGATTCCAGGGACCAGAGAGCAACTTAACTCTCATAGCAAATAGAAATGTATTTTTAAAAATACAGCATAATGGCTCCTGCCTTGAAAACGGAGTCAGGCGGGCTCCTCGATTGCTGTGTGGAATGAACCACAGGGCTCTGAGCTCCTCCCCAGAGAGCCTCAGCCAACATAACAGCACCACCGCTGTGGGATACAGTGAGACCTGCTCTAAGCCTCGACTGCCTGAGATCTTTGGGGTTAGATTGTGCTAATGATACCACTTCCCTCCCACCCCCACCGGCCATCTTCTGTTTTCTGTTTGAGCTCAAACTAGTCTCAAACTCACTAAGTAGCCAAGAGTGACCTTGAACTGTTGGGGTTGCAGGCATGACACCACACCCAGCTAATTTTGCAATCTTACTCCGATATAATTCATTCTCTACAAACCAACCACAGTAACCTTAAATCACGAGTAAAAATACTTCCATCTCCTAATTGAGTAATTCAGTTTTTACTTCTGGCCAAGATGGAGCAAGAGAGATTAGATTCTTTTCCTAAGCAATAAGGAAAAGAAAAACAAAGCAACAACAAATGTGTATTTCCAAACAGGTACTATGTAACTTGTCCCGACAGAAGGTATCTGGGAAGATGAGCCTGTGAATGCTTGAGTTCACTGCCTGAAGGCGGTTTCCGGTCCAAATTTCTAACACAGCTGGGAGGCAGAGTCCAGGTGAAGAGTAAATGGGCAAGGGCTGCGCAGGGCTGCAGAGGGATCCCAGAGAGCAAGGGCTACGAAGGGGCTGCAGAGGATCCTGTCAGGTCCCCAGCTAAGGTGTGAGCTGTCCACTTGGAGGAGAATCTTCTCCCCAAGATGGGTAAAATCTGCCTGTAAGTCACAGTCAGAACAACTCATGGGTCTGAGAGGAGCTCGCCTTCCTACTACCCAGACTAAAAGAGACCTCAGAATACACCAGGGCTTGGGAAGAGACCACGAAAGACAGCCACTTAATAGTGAAAAAGCCATAGCTGAAAGGCTGGACACACTTCAACAAAGCTTAAAGTGAGCCCCAGAATAAGCCAAAGGATCGCAAGTGTTGCTTTTAAATGTGCAGCGCAACGGAGTCTAACATTCATCGAAAAAAAAAAAAAAAAAAAGAACGAAATTCAGCCACGAAGACTGTAAATTCATAATGCCCGGAAACTAATTTAAAAATTTTTAAGTGTAATGATAAATTTAAAAGAAGAAAGGCGAAGTGGGTGCCTTTCGGTGGGCCCTGACAAGATAATGCCACTCAGCAAACACGGCACGGCAAACAGAGTTAGGGCCAGAGGTTTATGGGGGAGCAGGGGAGAGGCGGGAAGAGAATGGCCATGTCAGAGTGGGGACACGAGGGAGACAGGCAGAGCCATGTCAGAGACAGGCAGAGAGACCAGGAAGAAACAAGAGGAAGAAGAGAGGCAAGAGAGTGAGCTGTGCTCTGGCAAGCGCTTTTAAGGGGTGTGCATATAACATAGCTGAGGGCGCAAAGACAGGTGGTGATGTAACTGCTTTGGCCGCAGAGGCAAGCTGCTGCGGTGGCGGAAACTAACGATAAATTGTGCACGCCTTTAATCCCAGCGCTCAGGAGACAGAGGCAGATGAATCTCTTGAGTTGGAGGCCAGCCTGATCTACAGAGAGAGTTCCAGGGCAGCCAAAGCTACACAGAGAGACCCTGTCTCAAAAACAAAACAGACAAACAAATTGAAAAACATGTACACGGGACTGGTCTTCGTCGGACTTGGGACTAGTCATGAATCCTGTATTTGTTAAGCACATATAAGATTCACAAAAGAGTTACACGTCGTGCACAGCCATTCCAGACCCTGGAAGGCAAATGACAAACCGAGAAGCCGTTTATTACTGATCTTTTAATGGGTTTCCTAGAACCATTCAGCTAAGAATGGTAGGGGTGGGTCTTTGGGGCTGGGGCTAGACTCACCCCTACTCCCAGGTGTGACACTTTTCTAAAGGTGGCACCGGTGGTAAAACTAGTAGCTCACTGCCAGAGAAGGCATAAAGGGGCCAAAAATACATTTTCCCAAACAGTAATCACCTGGAAGAAGGAAGCCGGCAAAATGCAGGCTGTGGTTGCTTGAGCTTACCCCTGGGGACAACCTGCAGACCCTCTCACTGGAGGAAGTCAATCCCAGCTCTAGCCGGGAGTTATAGTTAGTGATCTGGCTAGGGGAGGCAGAGGTGGGAACAGTGCAGGGCTCTCTCTCTCTCTCTGACTCAGGCAGGAAGCAAAATATGTGGCCAACTGTTAGTCAGTGAAATCTTGTAGGAACTGAAAGGTTAAACGCAGAACTAGCCTGATGTTGTTTGTTTGCTTGTGTACAGGTAGCCCAAGCTGGCGGTAAACTCTATGAAGGGGATCGTGAACTCCAGATCTTCCTGCCATAGATTACAGGCATGTGCCACCACACCCAGTTTAGCCTGAGTGTCGTCACAGTTGAGACAAGTGACAACACCAGGCACAAATTTAGCAAGGAGATTCAGGAAATGACACACACATGCACAATTAAAAATAATGAAAAAATTATACAGTATATTTTTATCATATTTTCTCTTCCCTCCAACTCCTCCCTACCTGCCTACCAACTTCATTCGATTTTCTGTGCCTAAAAAAAAAAGAAAAAAAGAAAGAAAGAAAGAAAGGAGAAACAAAAAGCCCTCACACAGACAGACACACACACACACGCAACCATGGAGTCCATTTTGTGTTGGCCAGCTACTCCTGGGCATGAGGCCTGCCAAATAAATTTTTAAAAAGAACCAAATGAAAATCCTAGACTTAATAACTACAATGAAAGTTTCCCTAAAACGTCTCCACCACAGAATGGAGTTGGCAGAAGATCAAATCTGTAGTTGATGATAAATTAATAGAAATTTTCAAGAAGGAAAAATGAGGGATGAATAATGAACGGGACTTTCAAAGACCTGTGGGATAGTATGAAGTTATCCCTGTGTAGGAATGCCAGGAAGCAAGGAGACGGTTGGTGCACACTTTTAGTCCCAGCATCCAGGGAGCAGAGCCAACAGATCTCTGTGAGTTTGAGGACAGCAGTTTTTATCTTTTTTTTAATCGTTTTCTTTTTTCCTCCATTTTTAATTTAAATTAGAAACAAAATTGTTTTACATGTCAATCCCAGTTCCTTCTCCCTCCCCTGCTTCCCTGCCCCCCACTAACACCCTGCCTATCCCATACCATTTCTGCTCCCCAGGGAGAGTGAGGTCTTCCATGGTGGGTCTTCAGAGTCTGTCATAATCTTTGGGATAGGGCCTAGCCCCTCCCCTGTGTGTCTAGGCTGAGGGAGTATTCCTCTATGTGAAATGGGCTCCCAAAGTCCATTCCTAAGCTAGAGATAAGTACTGATCTACTACAAGAGAGGCCCCATAGATTTCAGAGGACTCACATTCGTGGGGTCTGGATCAATCCCATGCTGGTTTCCCAGTGATCAGTCTGGGGGCCAAGAGCTCCCACTTGTTCAGGTCAGCTGTTTCTGTAGGTTTCACCAGCCTGGTTCTCATTGCAGTTTTTAGAAAAGAGAAAAGAAAACCAAAGGGAAAAGAAAAAATTGAAATTAATGAAAGAAAAATGGCATAGTGTATTCAGGATAGTAAGACTATGGTAAAGTCAGCATGTCAGAGATAACAGAATCCAGAGGCAGCACGGTGATAGATTGCAAATGATGCAAGGAAAACATCCAGCCAGCCTACCATGGTACTGCAAGTCTTTAATCCCTGCACTCCAGAGGCAGAGGCCAGCCTGCTCTATAGAGGGAGCTCCTAGCAGCTAAGGCTGCACAGTGAGTCTTCATCTCAAAAAAGAAAAAGAAGGAAGGAGGGAGGAAGGGAGGGAGAGAAGAATGGAGGGAGGGAGGGAGGGAGGAAGGAAGGAAGGAAGGAAGGAAGGAAGGAAGGAAGGAAGGAAGGAAGGAAGGACATTCCACCAAGAATTCTATATCCACTGGGCAATGGTGGCTTATACCTTTAATCTTAGCACACGAGAGAGGTAGAGGCAGGCGGATCTTTATGAGTTGGAGGACAGCCTGGTCTACAAACAGAGTTCCAGGACAGGCTCCAAGGCTTCAATGGAGAAACCCTGTGAAAGAAGAAGAAGAAGAAGAAGAAGAAGAAGAAGAAGAAGAAGAAGAAGAAGAAGAAGAAGAAGAAGAAGAAGAACTCTATATCCATACAAAGTAAAAACAAGGAAATTTCTACATGACCCAAACCTCACAGAATGTGTGGCTAACTAACCTGTCATACAAGAGATGCTAAAAGAAGTCCCTTGGGTTGGAAGGGAATGATATCAGATGTCAAATCACATCTAATAGAGAAATGATGAACACAGCAGCAGCCACTATGTGGGTGAACAGGAATGACAGATCCGCAGGTGTAAACAAAATCTGTGCTTACAAATATAGTAGTTTATGAGCAAACATAGTTCTCCTCATTTTTAAATTTTCCTTAAAACTGAAACAATACTTGAAACTCTGTATCATAAGGTTTGTTAGCCATATAGGTGAATAAATGACAATAATATATCAAATGATGAGGTGTAAATAAAGCCATATCAGAGTCTATTTGCTAAATTTTCTGGAATTAAGTAAATGCTAACCCAAAGTAGATTGTAGCAAGACAATTATTGTGATGCCCACAGAAATTCTGTCTCTCCCTCTCTGTTGTGGGGGCAGGGAGGGTATGTCATACATACAGTAACAATAAAAAATAGAGTATTTCTATTGACATCATGGAAAGCAAGCATGCAGAAGTATTACTAGAGAAGAATGAATTTCATGATAACTACACTCAGTACAAGAAGAAGATAGGAAAACTAGGACTGGAGAGATGTTCAGTGGCTCCCACGGACACCTGAACACAACTGGTGCACACATACAGAGAAGTGTACACACACACACACACACACACACACACACACACACACACACACCTCTTTTTAATCCAAAGAAAGAAAAGGTGGGTAAAATACTTCGGGATGAAGATAAGGGTCATCACATGGATACTATGTGCTCAAACAGTTATGAAAAAGTAGTTTATGTGCATCAGTCTCAAAAGTCCCCACTCCGATGTCATCATATTTTCCTTATCCTTTGCATCTCCTGACCTTCAATCTGTCCTACTCAGCGTCTTTCCCACACTGACTAGATCTTTTCAACATGCACTCCATTTATTTAAGAAGGTGGGGGCAGTTAATGGTTGCTGGGAGGGGTCCCATTTCTTCGGTGGTGGAGCCATTGGTAAGTTGCCCATGGTCCTGTAAATAATGTCCCACCCATGCCCATGCAAGCAACCTTAGCCAAACTCAGTAAATAACAACAAAAAATGAAACAGTTATAACCAAGTAGATGGGGGACTTTTTGGGAAGAGGGGGTTCAACAGAAGTGAACATTATATACATGAATAAAAGTGCCAAAGAATTTTTTAAGGCATTAAAAGAAGGGGAGGAAACGGGGAATGGGCACAGTGGTTAGGCCCATAATCCAAGGGTTTGGGAGGCGGAGTCAGGATAGGGAACTCAAGGTCACCCTCAGCCATATAGCTAGCCTGGGCAACATGAGATGCTGTCCAGCTAGTAAAGAAGCTACTATTAGAGAACTTGCTGAGGTATGAAAGCAAGGCTCTGGCTTGGCGTGCGCAAGGCTCTGGGTTCAATTCTTAACACTGGAGGAAAAAAAAGGAAAAGGAGAAGAGATGAAGAGCATATTCCCAGATGCAGTCATACGCATGGATGGTATGTCAGCAGCACGCAGGCACACGGGAAGGAAGACGGCTATTTGACTAGACACTGAGAAAAATGCATGTAAACCTTAGTGACTCCACTAAGCAAAACATCAAATTAGCGTTAGGTGTCCTTAGCGGAAATGCAGTGTGTTCTAGCCTCCAAAAGACAATATGGCATATTCTTAAAAACAACGCATGCAATTCCCATGTGACCAAGTGACTACATTCTTGCACGAGTGTCCCAGAGTGAGGGGAACAATGAAACAATGGAGGGTTCACAAGACGTGTGTGTGTGTGTGTGTGTGTGTGTGTGTGTGTGTGTTTACATATATCATATATATAATTATTAACCAAGAAGAAATATTTTAA